GCGGCGGTCCGCGCGCGTCCTCGGACGCGCGCGGACAGGCTGATCGAAGAGCCACCACGATTATTCTCTCTCTCTCGTCCGAGAGAAGAGACCACGATGGTTGAACGAGAAGCGCGTTTCTTCGCGAACGCAAAAATTTCGAACGATTACCCTGAACGGTGGATCACTTGGCTCGTGGGTCGATGAAGAACGCAGCTAATTGCGCGTCAACTTGTGAACTGCAGGACACATGAACATCGACATTTCGAACGCACATTGCGGTCCACGGATACAATTCCCGGACCACGCCTGGCTGAGGGTCGTTTTAGTACCCCTAAACTGCTTGCGTCCGAAAAGCGCGCACGGCCACGACGCGGGCGACCAGAGAATGGCGCGCGCGTCGCCTGTGCCCTGTGCAACGCTTACAATGGGCGTACGAGCGATCGTTGGACGTTCGCCCGAGGTGTCTGTGCCGCGCCGACCGGCCGCGGTGCAAATCCTGGCGTCGTCTGAAATGACACACCGAAATAATAATAATGAGGAGGAGAAGCGCACAAGCGTGTAAAACGTTGGCGAACGCGCGCCCAGAGAATGCTGCGCGAATTAAGAGGGGGAGCGTGTTTGTGTATCCAAGTCGTGTGTGTACGCGAGAGCCGAGGAGAAATGGGATGAGAGTAAGAGCGCGCGCGAAGGGAGCAACAAACGGCCAAAAAAAGGGTCAGGACGGTGAATGGCACCGCTTTCCCTAGAGCGGCGCGTGCGTCGTTGTCTCCCGAAAGTAGGTAGCGCTTGTCTCACCGTCTCTCCTCTCCGTACATCACACAGACTGACCGGACTGCTCTCGCACTCTGTGCCGCGTCTCTCGGTGCGATAGCGCTCGCGCGTCTTATGCCGAGGCGCCCTTGCCCGCACACATAACGGTATTACGGAGAAATATACGGCGCGTCGTCGTCCGGCGGAGAGAGCATTCGTAATCCTTTACCTCTTTACGGAGAAGGGTTTTGAATCGCGAGCCGACCGCGTGTCCGAGTCCACGAAATTTTCGTAAAGCGAAAAAAGGGGACCGGCGCGCCGCGTCGTGTACTCGTCGAATCGATTCCGCCCGAATTTCGTATATAAAAGAGAAGGGAGAGCCGAGAATCTCGAACCCCGCGATATATCGTCTCCATTACCACCAACGAGTGTGTGTGCGGTTAGCGCCCCGGCGATTTGCCTTCTCGCGTATTTCGTGTGCTGCCGCTGCTGCTCTCTCGTTCGACGCTCTCTCTCTCTCCCTCTTATAATATATATTATAGAGGAGAGACGACGATGAGCGACGCGGAGGAGGCAAACGGCTACGAAAACTCACTATGCGACGACCTCAGAGCAGGCGAGATTACCCGCTGAATTTAAGCATATTATTAAGCGGAGGAAAAGAAACTAACCAGGATTTCCTTAGTAGCGGCGAGCGAACAGGAAAGAGCCCAGCACCGAATCCCGCGGTTCCGCCGCAGGGAAATGTGGTGTTTGGGAGGATCCGCTTATCCCGAGGTGCCGCGTCGCGTCCAAGTCCATCTTGAATGGGGCCACTTACCCGTAGAGGGTGCCAGGCCCGTAGCGACCGGTGCGCGCCTCGGGAGGATCTCTCCTTAGAGTCGGGTTGCTTGAGAGTGCAGCTCTAAGTGGGTGGTAAACTCCATCTAAGGCTAAATACGACCACGAGACCGATAGCGAACAAGTACCGTGAGGGAAAGTTGAAAAGAACTTTGAAGAGAGAGTTCAAGAGTACGTGAAACCGTTCAGGGGTAAACCTAAGAAACCCAAAAGATCGAACGGGGAGATTCATCGTCAGCGGCGCTGGCTTCGCGTCGGTCGGCGATGTCCCGCGGAGTCCTTGCGGCTCGCGCGCGGGCACGCTACCACGCCGATGTCCGGCGCTCGTCGTCGTTCTTCTCCCCAAGTAGAACGTCGCGACCCGCTGGGTGTCGGTCTACGGCGGGTGCGGTGTGTCGCGTCGCCAACGGCGCGTCAAACCCTCGGCGCCCGGCCGGCTGCTCGGCCGCGCAAGGTATCAGGCCGCACTATTCCGGTGCGTCGAGACCGTCGCCGGCGCCAGGTACTCGGAGGCGGTTCGCGCCGTCCCGGGCCCGCTGTTGGTTACAGTACGGTACACCTTCGACAGGCCTGCGAACGTCTCCCGCGGTCTCGCGGGAGACCGATACCGGTCGGCGACGCTACTGCTTTGGGTACTCTTAGGACCGTCTTGAAACACGGACCAAGGAGTCTAACATGTACGCGGTCATTGGGACTTGTCGCGAGACCTAAAGGCGTAATGAAAGTGAAGGTCGGCCCTGGCCGTCGACCTAGGGAGGATGGGCCGCGTCGCGATGCGGCCTCGACTCCCGGGGCGTCTCGTTCTCATCGCGAGAAGAGGCGCACCCAGAGCGTACACGTTGGGACCCGAAAGATGGTGAACTATGCCTGGTCAGGACGAAGTCGGGAAACCCTGATGGAGGTCCGTAGCGATTCTGACGTGCAAATCATCGTCGGAACTGGGTATAGGGGCGAAAGACGAATCGAACCATCGCTGGTTCCCTCGAAGTTTTCAGGATAGCTGGCACTCGGCCGTTCCGCCGGAACGCGCGCGAAGTCTCATCTGGTGCGGATTAGGCCTAACGCCTCAACCTATTCTCTAGTTAAAGGTGGCAATGAATCTCTAGAAGCCTCGTGAGTCGAAAGGCTCAACCAATGTAAGCAGAACTGGCGGTGGGATCCTGGCCGAGTTCGGCGCAACGAGCCATGGTTTGCCGTACGGCGCTAAGACAGCCGGTGGCCGGAATCGGAACCGCTAACGAGTGGCACTGCCGTCAACTCCGATCATGGGTTTCGCAAGTTCGAGCCGAGACTCGGAATCGGCAAGTGGGGCGACTTAGGTAGCTGGCGGGTGTTGTACTCGTACGAGAGTTAGGACGCTCGCGATCTGTTGAGACTCAGCCCTCGAGCTTGGGGATTCGATCTTGTCGGTAGAGCGATACTCCCGACCCGGACTGACGTGGAGAAGGGTTTCGTGTGAACAGCCGTTGGACGAGTTTCTCCTCGCCGGAGAAAAGCAATGACGGCGCGAACTCGAGTGTGGAGAAATTTCTCGCTCGCCGGCGAAAGCACACGCCGCGGGCGAAAGGGATGGTTTCTATGCCGCCCGGCGCGGAACCGCCGCAACGGACTCGTAAGAGTGTTCGTCGGGGCCCCCGAAATGGAGACGCCGTCGAGAGATCTTGGAAGAATTTGTCGCTCGCCCGGGAAACCTCAGCAGGGAGCGAACTTGGAAAAAGCCGCTTGCGGCGGTGTCCGGATCTTCCCCTCGGACCGAAAGCAGGACACGCCGCGTGGACTTCGGGCCGGGCGGCGCATACCGCCGGAGGTGTCGCCCTCCAACGAAAGCAACACGCCGCGAACGGACTTGGAAGAATTTCTCGCTCGCCCGGCGAAAGCAACACGCCGCGAACGGACTTGGAAGAATTTCTCGCTCGCGGCGAAAGCAACACGCCGCGAACGGACGGGATGAATTCTCGCTCGCCCGGCGAAGCAACACGCCGCGAACGGCCTTGGAAGAATTTGTCGCTCGCCCGGCGAAAGCAACACGCCGCGAGCGAACTTGGAAAAAGCGGCTTGTGCGGCCGGAGGTGTCGCCCGCCAACGAAAGCAACACGCCGCGATCGGACTTGGGTTACGGGCGGCGCGTTCCGCCGGAGGTGTCGCCCGCCAACGAAAGCAACACGCCGCGATCGGACTTGGAAGAATTTCTCGCTCGCCCGGCGAAAGCAACACGCCGCGAACGGACTTGGAAGAATTTTTCGCTCGCCGGCGAATGCAACACGCCGCGAACGGACTTGGATGAATTTCTCGCTAGCCCGGCGATAGCAACACGCCGCGAACGGACTTGGAAGAATTTCTCGCTCGCCCGGCGAAAGCAACACGCCGCGAGCGAACTTGGAAGAATTTGTCGCTCGCCCGGCGAAAGCAACACGCCGCGAGCGAACTTGGAAAAAGCGGTTGTGCGGCTGGAGGTGTCGCCCGCCAACGAAAGCAACACGCCGCGATCGGACTTGGGTTACGGCGGCGCGTGCCGCCGGAGGTGTCGCCCGCCAACAATGCAACACGCCGCGATCGGACTTGGGTTACGAGCGGCGCGTGCCGCCGGAGGTGTCGCCCGCCAACGAAAGCAACACGCCGCGATCGTACTTGGATTACGGGCGGCGCGTGCCGCCGGAGGTGTCGCCCGCTAATCAAGGCAACACGCCGCTATCGGGCCTGGAAAAATTTCTCGCTTGCCGGCGAGAGCAACGCGCCGCGAGCGAACTTGCGCCTGTTCCCGAGTTCTCGCTTGTACCGCTAACGAGCGAGCTAAATGAGATTAATTAAATGAGGACGCATCGGAAAGTTTATTCGTGCAAACACTCCGGCTTCGCTTATCGGCATCCTGCCTGCATTTGTCCACGTATCGGTCGTAGAATCTCGAAGATTGTGCATCCGACGAGTGGTAGCCGGGAATTAGCAGATATCGTAATAATCGTGTCGCGCGGTCGTGCGGAGCGTCGAAAAGTACGAAACCTTTGTCCGAAACGTATTTCCGTATCTTAGCATGTTTGGGAAAAAATTAAATTTCCGTGATCCCCGCGCGCCTTCGATATACGCTCCTGAGAGCTCTCTGTAATTGTGTACATCGACAGTTTGTTATTGCGTCCACAAGGGCGAAGCGCCGAATTAGGAGAGAGTTTCCGCGTCTTTAAAAAGGAGCGATGCGGCACGGAAGGCGAGTCTGGTACGACGAGCCGTCCGGTAAACCCGAGAAGAACATTTGTGATCCGAAGAATAAAAATTACGTATTCTTACTTAGAATAAAGAGACTAGTTCCTGCTATCTATCCTTGCCTATCGACGCAGTCCACAAGAGAGAACTAGGCGATAGCTCCGATAAAACCCAAAGGAGAAAATATACAAAACATGGTCCTTCGAGCCGGATCTGTGTCGAGAAATTAACGGATGGATTCAAACAAGATACACGTGCAAGCAGTGCAACTACTTCAAGTGAGCCATTCAACAATTGCGCTACATTCCGAGTAAAAATTTCCGTACGACAAGGAAGTATTTCGACTCACGTACATACGTTCTCCATTTCAACACCGTGTTTACCTTACAAGGTCGAGCTCTGCAAGACAATAGATCGAAATGGACAAGGCAATATTTGCGTTCGATACGAATTTACGTTATTTAACGAACTCAATAACGAATTTCCAAAAGCTTGGAGTTGATAATCAAACTCATGCCATCACTAAAGGACGATTTCAACTCTTGCAAAATTACTGGAATAAATGCCAGGAGAATGCCGCTATCATTGAGGCAGTAGCAACCGACGCAGACGCGGCACAGCTTCCCTTCTTCAAGAGCAAGCTGCTAGACAAGGCGGAGGTCTCGTACATGCAAGCCTACGACTTCTTTCAAGAAAAACTCGAGGCATTCAACGTCGCTTCAATTTCCATTCCTGTACCAACGGCGGCCGCAACGACGTCCATCAACGAGATCCGATTGCCGAAGATCAACTTGCCTTCTTTCTCCGGTAATGTAACCGAGTGGCTAACGTTTCGCGATTTGTTTCTTGCGCTCGTTAAAAATCGCCGTTCCATATCGCAAGTCGAGAAATTGCAATATTTATTATCCGCGGTTACTGGCGACGCTGCTAAGTTGATTTCCCATCTTTCTCTAACCGATAGTAATTTCGATGTTGCATGGAAGGAACTCACGAATCGTTACGAAAATCAACGCGTTATTATTGACGCATATTTCAAACGTTTATTTACCATTCCTAATGTTTCGTCTAACGATCTGTACGGGTTAAAACAATTACGCTCCAATTCATCGGAATCGATAAATGCTCTGCGTGCCTTGAAATGTTCTGTAGATGAATGGGATATGATTTTAGTCTACATTCTTGTACAAAAACTAGACAAATTGACGAGAAAAGATTGGGAAGTCAGCTTAGGTTCAGAGAGGAGATATCCTACGATGGAAAAACTATACGCGTTTCTAGATACACAAATTCGTTCGCTTGAGGCTGTATCCAAGGACGGAGATAACTCGAAGTCCGCCAACGGAAACTCATCCGAAAAGAGTTCCGGTGCTCGCTCGATTCCAAATGCGGCACGAAAAAATAATATAGTGCGTTCTCACCATACAAACACCGCGAGTACGTGCGCTCTTTGTTCCGAAACACATCGTTTAATGCATTGCGAGAAATTTCAAGCGTTAAGCATTTCGCATCGACTAGAGTTTGTTCAAAAAAATAATATATGCAAAAATTGTTTGACCAAAGGTCATTACGTTTCGAATTGTCGTAGTTCCTTTACTTGCTTGAAATGTAAAAGACAACATCATACTTTGTTACACGAGAATTCAAGGTCAAGTTTAACGACAACAACAGACTCTGGACAATGCGATAACGCGTCCAACGTACATTCACACGTGAACGCGGGAGTTAAACCCGTGCTCCTGGCTACCGCACGTGTTTGTATAGGATCAGAAAACGGTCGACATGTTTACACGCGAGCACTAATCGATCAAGGTTCCGATGCCACATTCGTTTCGTCACGAGTCGCTCAAATGTTGAGAGCTCGCTTAATTTCAACACGCGTAAAGGTATCTGGCATCGGTGACACTACGTCTAATTGCGTTCAACATGCCGTCTCTATTTCTATCAGCGCGACTAATAAAAATGATACGATTCTTCATACCAAAGCATTGGTCGTTCCAAAAATTACAGCGTACATTCCACCTCATTTCCAATTACAAGAGATTCCGTTTCTTTCCAAATTGAATCTAGCCGATCCAAATCCAAGCTCAAATGATGCAATCGAAGTACTTCTCGGGGCCGAATTATACGGTTCAATTATGATGGGTGGCTTAATGAAAGCTTCTAACGATGCTACACTTGCGCAAGAAACGATATTCGGGTGGATCATTTCGGGTCCTATTTCAAACCAAAAAAATAGCCAAAGAATTCACGTTCACCAAGCAACTTCTGGCAATCTCGATTTCGAACTCCGACGTTTTTGGGAGCTGGAAGAAATTCCAACGACACACGCTCTCTCAGAGGAAAATCTTCGTTGCAACTTACATTTTCAAGAGACACATATGCGCGATTCTTCAGGGCGCTATGTTGTCCGCTTACCCTTCAAGTCTGGTCCTCCGATAAAAATCGGCGAGTCAAGGTCAGTAGCTACGCGTTCACTCGCGCAACTAGAGCGACGTTTAGCCAATTCTCGGGAAATTTCAGGGCAATACGTCGACTTTCTTAACGAGTACGAAGAGCTCGGGCATATGCAAAAAATCGAAAACGTGCAACGCTTCTTTCAACCGACGTTTCTACCTCATCATCCAGTTATTCGCGAGGACAATACTACAACCAAACTTCGTGTAGTGTTTAATGCCTCGGCAAATACCTCGAATAACACTTCTTTGAATGACCATCTTATGATTGGTCCAAAGTTGCAAGCCGATCTTCCGGCGATTATTCTTCAATGGCGTTTGTACAAATACGTTTTTTCCGCTGATATTCAGCAAATGTTTCGACAAATACAGATTCATTCAGACGATCGCCAATATCAATTAATATTGTGGCGTACGATTCCGAACGAGCTAGTCCATACTTATTCATTAAATACCGTTACTTATGGTACTGCCTGCGCGCCTTATCTCGCCCAACGCGTGCTCAAACAACTTTCAATCGACGAGAGTTCGCGTTTTCCACTAGCTCAAGCAATTTTGCAAAATGAAATATACGTTGACGATGTCCTATCCGGAGGCGATGATAAACCATCCACGATTAAAAAACGCGACCAACTAATCGGCTGTTTACTAAGCGCAGGCATTCATCTCAGAAAATGGGCCAGCAACGATTTTGAAATTCTACAAGATATAAATCCTGCGAATCACGGTCTAGCAAGTTCCAAGCCTTTCCAAGAAGGTGAACAATTAAAAATACTCGGTATTCATTGGACACCTTGCGATGATAATTTTTCCTTTGAAATAAAATTCCGTCCACCATCTACCGACATTTCGAAACGACAAATCCTTTCGACGATAGCGAAAATATTCGATCCCCTCGGATGGGTGTCTCCGATCACGATATCTCTCAAAATTCTACTGCAAAAACTGTGGAAATTTTCCTACGGATGGGATGATATTCTTCCTGCGGAAATAACAACCGAATGGAATGCTTTTTGCGAAAAGATGTTACACTTGACGACTCTGCAAGTTCCTCGTTGGTTAGGCTTCGAGCGTAACATTCAGTGCTTGCATTTACACGGCTTTTGCGACGCTTCATCTAAAGCCTATGCAGCGGTAGTCTATTCAAAAATTGTCACGAATTCTGGCGATAGTCATGTTCGACTTCTTCTATCAAAAACCAAGGTTGCTCCGATTAAAACGATTTCGATTCCACGACTCGAGCTCTGTGCGGCTCAGCTGCTAGCACGCTGTATTTCGTTTACTATTGACGCGATGAAATTGCAAAACATTCCTGTGTTTTGCTGGAGTGACTCGACAATCGTATTAGCATGGTTGCAAAAGGCTCCATCAGATTTAAAAGTATTTGTAGCTAACAGAGTGTCTTCTATTCAAACGAAGCTTCCTACGGCGACATGGCTGCATGTGCCAACAGAAGATAATCCCGCAGATTGCGCATCGCGCGGCATAAATCCAGCTCAGCTAACGCCTTCCAGTTCCTGGTGGAACGGCCCGGCATGGCTGAAATTTAACGAGGATAATTGGCCAGTTCAATCTACGATAAGTTGCACCGAAGATGATTCCGAATTGAAAGCGTCAAATGCAGTCCACTCGCATCATTCAAATCGAGCGGAACTTTTTGAATCCTTCAATCATATCTCCACGTGGCCACGCTTACTACGGGTCACCGCATACGTCCTTCGGTTCAAGTTTCGAACGAGAGTCCCAGATGTTGCTCAAGGTCTCTCTATTTTGCAAGTCGATGAAATAAAAACCGCGCACAGATTCTGGATTAAACAGATGCAAACGGAATACTTTTCAAAAGAAATCGTCGCTTTCAAAGCCAAGTCGAGGTTACCAGTTCAATGCTCCATCCATTCTCTCGATCCGTTCCTGGATCCCTCCGGTATCCTACGCGTGGGTGGTCGACTTCAACTGTCTGACCTTTCATATGATCGTAAATTTCCGATTCTACTTCCAAAACATTACCTTTCTAAGCTCATTATCGATCAAATTCATAAGGATACACTTCACGGCGGTGTACAATTAATGCTTCGCACGTTGCGAGAACAATATTGGATTCTGGGGGCGCGAAGCATGGTAAAAGGTTGTATCCGCAATTGCGTGACATGTACTCGGCATCGCGCCATAACCGGCGTACAATTTATGGCCGACCTTCCTACATTTAGAGTAATTCCGTCCCGTCCATTTTGCCATACGGGACTTGATTACGCCGGCCCCTTCGCAATTCGAGACGCTTCCGGCCGCGGACGTAAGTCGCACAAAACATACATCTCGCTATTTGTTTGTCTCGCTACACGAGCTATACACTTAGAGCTCGTTCATGATTATTCCACGGCTGCGTTTCTCGCATCTTTCGAACGGTTCGTAGCGCGTCGCGGCATTCCATCCGATCTTTATTCCGACAACGCGACTACCTATCAAGGCGCGGATCGCGAACTTGTTACAGCGATCCGACAGACTCAAGCCGACGTAGATCTGCAGGCGAAGTTCGCGTCAAAGCCAGTTCAATGGCATTTCATTCCGCCTTCTGCCCCTCATTTTGGGGGCATGTGGGAGGCAGGTGTTAAGAGTGTTAAGCACCATTTGCGACGTATACTTGGTTCCTGCACACCTACGGTCGAAGAGTTCACCACGCTTTTATGTAACATCGAAGCATGTTTGAATTCGCGCCCGATCGCCGCACTTCATGACGATGTAAATTCTTGCAATGCGCTCACACCAGGGCATTTTTTAATTGGTAGCGCCATTAAATCGATTCCGAGTCCGAGCGTCTTACATATCTCCGAGTCACGACTCGATCGATGGCAATTAATGCGTGCGAAATACGAGCAATTTTGGAAATTGTGGAGTCTTGACTACTTGAACACCTTGCAGCAGCGTTTTAAATGGCAGAATCGATCTGATGAATTTCGCATAAACGATATTGTTCTAATAAAAAATCCTAATTTACCTCCCTGCAGATGGGAACTTGCGAGAATCATCGAATGTAAGCCTGACAAGGATGGCCTGGTGCGAGTTGCTCAGGTCAAGACCGCGTCTTCTACTTTTGTAAGACCTATTGTTAAACTCTGTAAATTGCCGGTAAGTCCGGACGGTTCAGCGTAATCTAAATTCTGCAGGTTGTCTCCAATGATTGCAGTTCAATGTGTAAGGATTTACCCCTGACTGTCATTTGAATCCCTTGGCGATTCAACCCGAGGGGTATGTTTGGGAAAAAATTAAATTTCCGTGATCCCCGCGCGCCTTCGATATACGCTCCTGAGAGCTCTCTGTAATTGTGTACATCGACAGTTTGTTATTGCGTCCACAAGGGCGAAGCGCCGAATTAGGAGAGAGTTTCCGCGTCTTTAAAAAGGAGCGATGCGGCACGGAAGGCGAGTCTGGTACGACGAGCCGTCCGGTAAACCCGAGAAGAACATTTGTGATCCGAAGAATAAAAATTACGTATTCTTACTTAGAATAAAGAGACTAGTTCCTGCTATCTATCCTTGCCTATCGACGCAGTCCACAAGAGAGAACTAGGCGATAGCTCCGATAAAACCCAAAGGAGAAAATATACAAAACATAGCATTATCTCCTCGTAGCGGCGCTACTCGCCGTCAAGTGCCCCGGAGGTACCGCCGGCGGGCGACGGACTTGGTGAAATCATTCGGTCGTCCGGAGGTGTCGCCCGTCCCCTAAGTTGACGCCGGCCGTTATGTGGTGCCGCACGTATAATCACGCCCGTAACGAGCCGTCTCGGTTGCCGCGCGCGTGATTTCGCATCGGGCGAGTGTTCCATACCGTAATCGCGGTCACCGCAGCTTGCGTGTTGCGTATCATCCGTAATAATTCGAAATATATGTCTCCGACACGTGGGTTTGAGAGACACGTTTCGAGTTAGTAATCGAACAGCGCCCTCATGTCGAGCGAGCGCCGAATAGTAAGTAACTTTCGTCCGAAACGTTTTTACGTAGCTCTCCTCGTTGCGGCGCCGTAAATCGTCGTTAAGTGTTCCGGAGGTACTGCCGGCGGTCGTCTGACTTCGAGAGATCATTCGGTCGTCCGGAGGTGCCGCCCGTCCCGGAGGTGTCGCCGGTCGGCCGTGGTTCCCGGAGGTGTCGCTCGGCCCGGAGGTGTCGCCCGGTCCGGAGGTGTCGCCGGTCGGCCGTGGTTCCCGGAGGTGTCGCTTGGCCCGGAGGTGCCGCCCGGCCCGGAGGTGCCGCCGGTCGGCCGTGGTTCCCGGAGGTGTCGCCCGGCCCGGAGGTGTCGCCGGTCGGCCGTGGTTCCCGGAGGTGTCGCCCGGCCCGGAGGTGCCGCCCGGCCCGGAGGTACCGTCGGTGCTTATACCTTATTGTCCCGGCATTTCGTTTGTTTCCTTCTTAATTAATGCTAATTATCGTTGTTTGACATTCGCCATACGGCTATCGTGATAATATTTTATCGTACAATAGGACTTTTCGATCGTTCGCTCTCCGCGACAATGTCTCGATTGAACGCGCCTTTCGGCGCTCGCGCTCGCATACGGCCGTGCGTAGGACCGTGCGTCGCCGACCGCCTGGCCGGCCGGTTGGGTACTATAAGAGATACGTCGCGCTCGGCGCGTCGAACGAGTCGAGCGAGTCCGGACGAGTCGTAAACGTACTTTCTCGAGTCTCTCGCCACTCCGGCGTGTTTCGACCGCTCTCCGTACCGTCGCCGACCGCTTGGCCGGTCGGTTGGGTACTATAAGAGGTAGGAGAGATTAATATTGTACGTGTCGCGCTCTCGACGTTGACAAACGAAGAATCGCCCGAACGGGTCGAGAACGGATTTTGTCGAGTCGCGACTCTGACACGGAGAGAACATTTATATAAAATGTTTGATTTTGGAAACCACGAATATATAAAATAATATACGATCGTCGCAGAACGCGCCGCCGCCAAGTCTTCTCATGCTTGGAGGTTGCGTGTCTCGCGAGAACGTACGTTCGACTCTCGCGTCGTCTCGTATTCCTCTTCGCCGGGGATTACGGTGCGGCTCTTCTCGTTCGTCGCCGAACGCGCGCAAAATTAACGCACACTTATTTATTACGAGCACAGCATTGCCACGAGTCGGTGTCGCAAGACCGAATGGCTCTTATGTGGCGCGCACGCCTCTAGTGTGTTGGCCGCGCGGTTCCCTCTCGTTTCGTACGCAGCAGCGGAATCGTCGCGCTTACCGAGCATCTACTCCACGGATACGAGTTTGCGGGAAGAGTTGCTTCTTCCCGCTCGCTTTGTACGCCGTAGCGAAATCTTATTGCTGGTCGTGTGCGGTTAAACGCGTACGAACCAGACAGAACAGTCCTCGACGTCTAAGCATCGCCATCGTCGATCTAGCGTCAGGGTGAATCGCGCGGTCTCTCGAGACCGCGCATCATAACATTTGGGAGAATAAGAACACGAGTATTTTGATCTTGTGGATTTTTGAACGGAGAGGAGGAGGAAGAAGAGGAGAGGCGGCGGCGTCGGGGGTTTACTCTCGCCTCCGTCGTTCTCTCGTACGCTTTACATAATAGCGTTAAACACAGCAGAGTGTCGCCGACCGGCTGAGCAAGACCGGCGGCAAATAAAATGGCACATACGAGCGTGTCGCGCGCGCGTCGGTGTTTCGGCATCGCGCGCGCGTCGGTGTTTCGGCATCGAACGCGCGCGCGCGCGAAAAAGAGCTAGCGACGAGTCTTCGGGCTCGCTCGCGAGTTACTCCCTTGCGAGT